GATGTGTGTTGTGTTGTGAGAGAGAGAGAGAGAATGAGCAAATACTTTGTATGCTATTAATGTTTTGTATACTTGTCTTTATAATGCCAATAATCTTGAATATAAGTTGGAAGGGGGTAAGAAAAGGACTTTTGCTTTGAGTAAAACTTGTTAATTTTGTATCATCCATTTAGGGCTCGGGATATGAAGCTAAGGCTGAATTTCCTCCGGCGGAGACAGGGGGACGTCTCTTTTCAACAGTCTGTTAGACCTACACGAGAAGAAGTCCAAAAATGGGCGGAGTCTTTCCAGGAATTGATGTCCAGCAAATGTATGCCACAAGTCTTTGTTGTGACATTTTTAACCTCTTTATTTGATACTTAAATGAATCTCTATTCGTAAGAATATTTCGGACCTATAGTCTGTCAGTCAGTCAGTTTCTTTTAGCGCAAAGCCACATTGAGCTATTTGCCATGTCCACTGCGGGAATCTAACCTCGGATTCTAGCGTTGCAATTCCATAAATTTATCGCTCTCCCACCGGGGGACTGACTACGGACCTACAAGGATGTATATGTAGTATTTTCGAAATGTAAAATTACATAAAGACAGTGAAAAAAGTTGGGAACCTTGTTCAATACTTAGACACTAGTTACTTCAGTAAATGACCGTAGTTGAAAGAGGTTAACAGATCAAAGCTATAGCTGACGTCAAACGGATTTCCTTTCATTTTAACTCTTAAGAAACGATTCAAATGAAAGGAGGCTGTGCCTGAATATATATGATAAACGTTAGAGCTACCAAGATATATTACTTAGGTCTGTGTTCGCTATTAGTACTGTAGAGTGGAGACATCATTAGATAAACTATGATATAACCACGTTTCACGATCACGTAGTTAAACTATAAACATCAAATGAAATGACTGCATTAATTATTTTGTTGGGTTCGTTTACTTTCGAAGAAAGATGAGACGATTTAGCTGCTCTTATATCGGATGCAGATAAAACTCGCGTGTACATAACAAGCCTGCATTAATTAGTGTATCGAGTTCCTTTAGTGTTGACAGGGGTGTGTTCTAAAGTCAGATTATAGTTGTCTTGCAAGGAAGCGAAAAATCAATTTAAATCGTGTGCACATAGATACAAGTAGACCTTTAATGTAAAAAACTAAGTATTTCACATGTGGAAATCATGTAATGTCTGTTTCGCTGTAAGTGTTTTTTTCATCTTTCCAGATGGACTAGCGTTATTCAGGGCATTCCTTTCAAGAGAGTTCAGTGAAGAAAATATTGAGTTCTGGATGGCCTGCGAAGAATTCAAGAAATCTCGAATCAATAAACTTCCATCTAAAGCCAAGAAAATATACAACGATTTCATAGCGGTGCAGGCACCGAGAGAGGTACAAACAAGAACTTTCTTTTTTTGTTTCGTGTATTTTTTTTTTTAAGTTTAAAGGATTATAAGACTATCCAAACTTCAATATTTGTGTGTAATTGGTTAACATGTAATCAGGTTTTATGTATCCTGATTTCAGTTAATGATCGTGATTGACGAAACAAAACTATCTAAAAATTGAAGACAAAGAAAGAAAGGTTCCGCAAAAATTAACAACCTCGTGTTGTTTTCTGTAAACAGTCCTAGCGCGTGATGCTTTAAAAAAATAATAATATAGCTTTACTATCTGTCTGAATTTATATAAATAAACAATTTGATACTCGGTTGCAATCTTTTTATTTAGATGTTAGATGTTTAGATGTGGCGAAACTCAAGTCCAAGAGTAGTAGCATACAGGGTTACAATAAATTCTCAGAAACAGAAATTTCTAAAACCTTATTTAAACTCGGTGACATAGTGCACTGTTAAAGTATTGTATAGCCTTGTTGAAAGGCATGTTTCATAGAAAGGCTTACAGCACCATGTTTTGAGAGAAGTGGATATAACCTCACCTTTTGTACTTCTCCGGCGGTAAATCTTAAGACCTAGTCTTATAATGATCAAAAAGCTTTATGCTTAGTTGCAAGCAAACAAATCTCAATCTTTAAGCTTTTTTTTAGAACGACTATGGTTTTTAACTCTGAAAATAAGTTTTACTGTGTTTCAAAACTCTTGTCTTCATTCATTAGTTTCAGCTTGATTTTTTTTTTCTTCTTCCGACTACACAGATATATTGGAATTGTTTTATCTGTCACTAGTAGCAACATCTATTTTATTATCTTACTTAGGTAAATCTGGACTCCACGACGAGAAATACTATCTTCAATAACCTCTCTAGTCCTGACCACCACTCGTTTGATCAAGCCCAGAAACGAATCCAAGGTTTGATGGAACGGGATACATATCTCCGGTTTCTCCAGTCAGAACTGTACCTGGAACTTCTTCAACAAAACGGTTCTACGTGAGAACCTTTCTAATGACTTTGGTTCATTATTGTGGTCCTGGTCAAGATCTTGACCAGCTGTGTAATACAGAAAACTTTTGAACGAAGATACCTAAAGATTCTATAAAACTTATTTGATGTATGATCCCAAGGTTTCTAAAAATGTACTGTTGGGCAGTTAAAAACCAACAGCTGCTGGTCAGTGTTGGACATTCTCGGCTCCTCCTAAAAAGTGACGACTTTTGCAAACGGACCACCCATCTAAACATTTCTAGGTTCACTGTCATTGTAGTGATAGATGGTTTATGTCATTGCTAAATATAGAAAGTTCTTTTACTGGAATCTAGCTTCTGGAGCGATACAAGTGATCCAATGTAATGGATTAACGCATCATGTGCTACTATAAATACTAGCAGTTGGAACTTCTTTGGAGTAATTCTTCGCGTGCAAGTAAAGGTGACCTTAAAGAAAACGTGGAACAGCAAATTGACCATTATTGCATGAAGTTAAGTCCCATTTAAACACCGGATTCTAAGACATTAGTGGTCGTAACAACTTGATGTATCTGTTATTAAATGTTAAATTATTGGCTTCTTGTACAGTCATCCTGAGCATAGATGTCATGTAAAACGTAAACCTTGGTTATCTTTTTTGTTTCCTTTAACGTTTCTAACAACTTGGAATAAATTAAGGTTAGATCACTAGATGGTGCTGAACTTGGATATTTGGCTGACTACCTTGGAAAGTCTTTAAACATTCCGTATTCTCGAGATCAGGTACTCCTGATAAACTGATACAGCTGCTTGATTCTGATTTAATAAAAAAAACTCAAGTATATTATTTTCATAATAACGTACGGAGTTACTGGAGAACTGTTCTTGTTCGGTGTCTTAACTGGTTATTAGTTACGAGATTTTTTTTTACAAAAAATAAAACTAAGATAAAGCAATGTTCTTCTTTCCCACAATTCAACTGGCTTTGATAAGGTTCGTTTATTGCAAAATTAATTTTCAAACGGAGGTATGTTTTATTTTATTTTTTCATTTGTTCTGTGCAATAAGTGTCATGATGTTTATGAAAGTGACTATCTTATGATTATCATATTTTCGGAAAATCTTCTAATTTATATCTAAATCTGCAGTATTTAGAGTACGATTTAAAATACTTTAGAAGCTGTTTTGTAAACGGTGCAACCTCCCCATTCTATATACTTTACATAAAGCTGGTCTTATCTGAATCTTATGCCAACTAAAAATAGCTTCCAATCATAATCGGCTTTAATAGTGTTGGTTATCGATTTACGTCAGTTCTAACGTAGAAGCTTCACGAGTGTGAATGAAGACAATTGGAGATCGATTGAAGTTATAGTTGTTCTATGTTTGTTGGATCATTAATGTGCCAGAAAACAACTGTTACTAATTAACAGAATTATTTTTTAACTTACAAAGTTAATATTGGTTTTGAATCATATCTTTTTTTTTTTCTCTTGCGTATTTATTTTTTCTTTGATATTGTTTCCTTGAAAGCGCAAGGATATCAGTGTACAAACAATAGAATATTAACATATATTATTTATTCTATTTATTTATTGAGAGTTGTGTGTGCTAAGGGGGTTAAAGGGCGAAAGGATTGCTGTTTTTACATTGTTCTTAAGATACTCTTGAGAATTTATATATATTGTACAGTAAGTTGAACTTTTTTTTTGTCCGATATGTAAAAAAATATGTCGTAATACTTTTTTGCGTGTTATTTAGGAACTATTTGCCTTCATCTTGAATTTTTATGTGATCTGCATCTCTCGAAATGACTGCATAAGAAGATTTTAATCTCTTCAGACTCACTCTTCAGGTTGTTTACTTGTACCGATATCTGTGCTTGTAGTCGAACGTTTTTTTTTTATTTACAAAATTACAATTCTTGGATTTTTTTTTGCCTTTTATAACTAACGTAGTTTCATAACTAATTAAATTTTTAATTACATTTATTCCTTATTTAGTGTTACCAAGATTTTAACTGACATTTTCTGTATTTATATCCACTCTTTAATTAAGGTTTCAAAATAACTTTCATGTAAATTGTCTGGTTCCAATGGAACTCGGAATTGTGTGAATGATCATGTAATTTTATGTATAATAGCGTGAACATCAACATGATATTTACTATAATGTATGATATACATAAAAAAATCTGCTTTACTTAATTCTTCTTTTAACCCTTACATCCGCGTGTGTGAATTTTTCCAATCCTCTCCGTGTGAGTGAGTGTAATTTGATATCTTATTTATTCACGACTCGGCAATTATGAAAATAAAAGTTTTTAAATTTCTGATCTATAGTTGTCTTTGTTTGTTTTGGATTTCGCGCTAGCCGTCCCTAATTTAGTGGTAAAGGACTAGAGGGAAGGCAATTAGTAAAACAAACACCGCCAACTCTTGGGTTAGTCTTCTACCAACGAAGAGTGGGATTGACCATCACATTATAACGCCCTCACGGCTTAGAGTTGGTTTGAGCGTGTTCGGAGAAAGGGATTCAAACCCACGAGTTACGAATCGAGCGCCCTAACCTCCAGGTCATGCCAGTTTGTGTACTTATTTTCGTCCATTATGTGCAAATAATGGCTGATAAATTTTCAGTTTTTCACGTTTTTACAATTATGCATTAAGACAAATTTTAATTTATATTTTTGTTTTGTCTGTTTGTTAAGCGCAAAGCCACACGTTGTGCTGTGCCCACCACGGTTTGTAGCGCTACAAACATCCACACTTACTGCTGATCCTATGGCGGGGGGAGGGTATTTTAAATAAATTAATAATCTCCCCTTGCTGGCTCAGCAACCACCAACAACAACAACAACAACAAGAAAAAAAAAAAAAAAAGAAAGAGAGAGAGAGAGCCGCGGCTAAAATATTCTTTCAAAACCTGAGACACGAAAATTAAACAAACTGTTGGCTTGGATCATGTGGTGTTATTTAGTGAGTAAGTTGGGAACCGTGACATAAATACTTTAAAGGCGTATCTATATTTAAAAAAAAAAAGACTATGCCAGATAAAATAAGTTTAAGAAGTAGCACCAGGACTAATTCTTCAGAATACTATTATTTTTCTTTTATTTCCTGCTATACCTTATATTTTTAACCATACAATTATTAATGGTGTTCAGACCTAGTCGGCCTTGTAAACTTTTACTTTCAAATATGTCTGAACCAAATGGCTTGTTGGTTCCATGGGCTTCCGCAAGGGGGCACTTGTTCCCCCTCCCTGGATTATCAATTTTGAGTTTCCCTAGTTATAGTTTTAGTATTTTGTCATATTGCTCCTTTTGTAATACATCCTGGGGATGCCCATGGTTTGCTCCAGAACCGTACTGGTTACAAAGTTCCTATTGATTTACGATTTACAAAAACACATGGAAAATTATATCAATTGGGTGTTTAAAATGTGTTTTCACCCAGCGTTCTTCCTCGGTGGTCAGTTTACGGACTTTCCACTTTAAGATCTGGGGTTCCGTTTTCCCTGGTGGACAGAATGCAGGCAACAAATTGTATAGTTGCATCATGCAAACTACAGGCACAACATCGCCCTCTGTGTTTTTTTTTCTTTTTCCGAAGCTAAATTCTGTACACAGTCAATAAACATTAAACTGCTCAATGTGTTGCAATACACGAGCGCCACCTATAGTGAACAACGTAAAACAAATTAGTAAAGTAGGGGTTAAAATGTTTTGCATTAAATTTTAAAGACAGAATCTCTCTTGAAAAATTATTTATTTTTTACCTGGGCTTCGTGCAGGATTAAAACTAGTCGTGATTTGTGAGCCCCCTTTGAGATAAATCAAAATGTAAAGGAAAAATAATTCCTTAAAATATTCGTCGAATTATTACAAAATAACTAAACAAACTTAAAATGAATGGTTAAATTAACGTTTAACCAATATTCTTATTGTCAATAGTACTCTACTCTTATGGCTTACAATACAGTGTTTTAGAACAAGTTACTTTTATTATGGTATTTTTCTTCTCGTTATATACATATGTATACACACGCGCACACAAAGAAGGGTTTCCCTCTGTCTGGTGTCACAAGCTGTTGTGAGGAACTTATTGAACAAAGTTTGATGAAGGAACCCAGTTGGAAGCTCCATTGTAAATAGATATGCAAATGATTCGAGTTGGGTAATCGCTTAAAGTTTACTGCCGCAAACGAAAGCTCAACTGGGCGAGGAGGTCAGATCAAAAGGAAACTACGTGAAGCCAATGCCAAACGAAACTGACGTTTAATGCCGCGCGTAGCTCGGATAACTTTGCAGCGACAAGAATGTCGTGAGCTATGTGATGGTCTACGTTCCCATGTATAATATTACTTTTTTAGCCTGGCATTCCCTGGTATCTTTCTTAGTATCTAAAATTTTTGAAGTGAGAACCGTTAACTGTTATTTTTATCCACTTTCTTTCTGTGTTAAAATGGTTGCAAACGAAGAGTTTTTAACTCTTTCTAACATGTAAAAATTATCTTAATTTCTTAATATGTAGTTAAAGCAGGTTTTCTTCTCAGGTACGTGAGTTCATCGATTGTTCATTTCGACATAAAATTAGCTTTTAAGAACAGATACATTATTAAAATTAAAAGATATATTTTCAAACATGGCGTTAGTTTTTTTTACTTTACATACTCGCCTGTAGGTGGCGTATAAGCTACAAGCAAAGTAAAACCATGCACCTTCATTTGTTATTCCAAAATCTTTTGTAGCTCAAGAATAACGTTCAAAAATGGCCCCTTAACATAAAAAGTTGTTTAACGTTATGTACATAAAAATGTATATACTTGCAATTTGTAATTTTTGAAATACGTAACTCCAAAATACGATAGTTTAATTTTCAATTATTTTACGTGTTTACATTTAAGCCCAGAAAACACAACATTCTGAAATGAACTGATCAAAATTGTCTTGAACAGTTTAAAAACAAAACAAAAAAGCTTTTGATCAATTTTGAACAACGGGAAAGCAGGGAAGTTTAACCAAAGACTCAAATGATTTGTTTTCTCAAGCGATGGATCATAAGATTTCAAAGATAGAGGGCGCTGTTATACTAAATTTTATGTGCAATACAGTTCAAATAACGAGCTATACAAGAATTAAAACGTGCTCCGCACTTTGGAGACGCGAATGCGTTAAAAGAGTGACAGTAAAATCCCACTGTTCGACTAGAGTAGACCAAGAGTTGGCGGTGGTTGTTGTTTACTGTATCCTTCCCTTTAGTTTATCAGTGTGAAGTTTCTTAGTGACGGTTAGTGAAATAGTCTTTGTGAAACTGGGGGGGGGGGCATTGAAATAACAAGAAATGAAGACAATTAGTCTTCCAAGACAGCAGTGTTTACTGTCAATCTTTACAAACTCAATATTTTCCACTAGGACATTGCTATAAAGTCCATTTTGATCTACGTCTATGGCAACGCGTCTGATGTCACTCACGATGGCAAGCGTTTATTGGCGGGAAAATAAAGATGGATTTTCTACCACGCGACATTACCCGCGTTAAGAAATGCCGACCCTTCTAGCAAAATAGACTTGAAACTTCTTTTTTTTTTCAGAATGCTGTTGAATACATATATATGTATGCCCCCTTCAGTGGCACAGCGGCATGTCTGCGGACTTACAACGCAAAAATCCGGGTTTCGATACTCGTGTGCTTAACATCAAACAAACAATATATATGTATGCCCCCCAGTGGGGGTGGCGAAAATGAGCTAATGATAATGGAAAGTTTATTAATTGATTATTTCAAAACAAGACTAAGTAGAGTGGAAAATGGTTCTGTGAACAGCTTAAAACTTATGACTTATTCATTACTTGATGTTGATTTTGGTCAAAAGCTAGAAAGATTTCTATTTCTTAACGTGCGTCATACAATTATCAGCTTCAATTTAAGGATGTATTCTAACTCAGTGGATAATAACAGCGTTAATTTAAAGATATCTCGAAAAGAAATGTCCAGGATTGTAGTTCTTTAGGAAAATAAAAATATAAAATGTTTTGTCCATGTAGGACCTAAAAACAAAAACACTCTTTCTTAAATTCATAAATAGGGTGATAGGATATCAAATTATTGAAACGAGGAGATAGATGTATTATTATTTTGTATTTTTGAGAAGAACATTATTTGACAAGTAAAATATAAACCAAGTATTTTTTCTCCATCAATTGAGCGATAACTGAACTTCCAAGTATTTTTTCTCTCCATCTATTGAGAGATAACTGAACTTCTATGTATTTTTCCTTAATATTTTTTCTCTCCATCTATTGAGAGATAACTGAACTTCCAAGTAAGTTTTCCTAATTTTCCCCTATCTATTGAGAGATAACTGAACTTACAAAGTAATTTTTCTTCCATCTATTGAGAGATAACTGAA